CAACAACCATCGAAAGTCTGTGCGCTGGACGTATACCATCTGAGATAATGAAGTTCTTCGCGTATGCCTGATTAACGGTTTGTGACATCGCTTAAAAGCACACGGCTTCAGATAAGTCTGTAAAAGGATCCGCCATCCTAGTAAGAAAGATTCATATGCGGCAAAGACGTCATGTCGTCGTGCTTCTTTGAAAAGGGTCAAATGGTGACGAAAAAAGTTTATATGGACATCCTGAACACATTGGTGAAGTCCTAGATGGCCATGACCTCAGGAAGGTCGTGCATCTTTTAACAAGATGGCGCATCCACTCACATCAGTCACTTGGTGCAAAATTGGTTGTCGAACCACGTCGAGCTTTTTTGGTCTAAGGACTCCTGACTTCCTCACAGCCTTGAACCTTCTGGACTATTGTGTGTGGCGTTGTTGAAAGGGTTACCAATAAGTCGTGACATTCCAATGTTGCTTTCCTCCGGGTCGTCATTAAGACAACGTTTGCGGCCATGGACCGCGTACAAGCGCTTCAGGGACCGAATCGAGAGGGTAATAGCGCAGGGGGGTTATATTGAGTAGAAGGCTCCGAAAGAACCTCTCAATATGTGTACACAAAAGCATTTTTTTGTATATTTAATAATGGCTTAAATAAATGGTTTTTTTGAAAAAAACTTCTTCGTGTCCGGATTCTAGCGCCGCATCCTGTACAGTAAATTTTTTACGTCATGTAGCTTTATGCTTTCTCCCTGAAAAATATAATATTTCGTAATCCTGAAACCTGTAAAATGTGCGGCAAACTGAGATGTCTGTCCAATATGTCATGTAGAATTGCGAAATAATTCCTGAAGTAACGGTACATTTTTCAACTATACTCAGGCGGTCATGATAGCTATGAATGGCTGAAAAATGTTATTTTAGCCGTTATTTTAGAAATTATTTTACAATTCTATGTGACATATCGGACAGACATCTCAGTTTGCTGCATATTTCTCAAGATTATCAAACTATCATGTTCTTCAAAGAAAAAAATAAACGTAAAGCTATATATTATAAGAAATTTACTGCATGGCATTTCTCACCTCTAACATCATGCAACCAATATGGCTGCCGGAGATAACATATAGAATATATAGGTCTGTATTCTAAATTCTCTAAATTCTCTTTTACCAATAAAAGTGCCTATAAAATGGCTAAGAACCCGCATTTAAGGCACTTTTATCGATAAGAGAAAATTCAAAATACGAATCATAGACAGGAAAGGGGAGTGCTGACACCGAAAATATATCCATGGCTACGTTCCGACATCCACTAATACTGCCAGTACTGAAAAGCTGTAATACATGCATTGAATTACATACATATTGGAATAAGCATGCCTTTGTTCGAGCGATCAGAGCTGTATGAGAGAGATAGTTGAGCGGATATCGTGCTATCCTTGTCTAACTACATATAGCTATCACATGGTTCGATGAATTAAATAAACGTATTAATCATTCTGACAACATTTACCTTTCAACTATATTATACAAACACAGAAATTTTATTTCTTCAAAAAATGATAGAATGATGCTTTTGATACGAAAACGTCTAAAATAAATTCAACTAATACTAGTTTTTACTCTACATCATAGATTTAAACATGTCCATGTCAAGACAAATGTTTTCAGCCATGACAATTAATGCTAAAAAGAGACAGCACAGTACCAATTCAACTATTTCTGTCTGATCGATTGCCGCCATGGTGGGGATATACCCGTGCAATTTCCAATATGTATAGACTCGTATTCAGAACGTGCTTACAACAATGTTAGCTCGCTAACAAGAGATATGAACATTACCAGTATCGTTTATATTGTAAACACGATAATAACGATGTTCTGTTAGGAAAAATCGATAATTATGTACTTTTACCACAAAACATCTACTCAGAGCTTCTAATAAGTTGACTTGTAACGCACTAACATCGTTGTAACAATCCAATTATAAGAATAATCAATTGTGATTAGTCAATTTCTTAAGAATTAGAGCTTAAATTTTTATTGTAGATCCCATTTAAGTCCCAGTCTATAATAGATGTTTTAAGCTTTAAAAAATTGACCAATCGCAGTCGAATGTGAAGAGAATAATTAACTATGATTGGTCAATTTCTTAAAGCTTGAGGTTAAAACACTTATTGTAAACTAGGACTAACAGAAATTATAGTATTTTAGTATTGACAGTGAATTTCGGAACGCAGCCTTAGTTGCAAGAAATAAAAATATACAAAAGTATAAAAGGGAAAGAACAAACTATAGAAAGGAATAATCGTCCTCTGTGCGCTTGCGTCGAAATTGACAGACGTTTTAGGTTATAAACAGTTTGTTTCTCAGCTGTGATGAATAATAGTTAAGCTGCCATAAATGACATTATATTGTGGTGCAGTAATATAGATGTATTGTTCAAAATCCAGAACAATTCGGATAAATTATTCGGATTAACCATATAGTAAAAAGCATCAAAACTATCATTTGACAGTAATCCGTATTCTCAATTCACTTTTATTAATAAAAGTGTTTCTAGAAGTAGCTTAAAAACCATCTGATTGGCTGAGAAACCACATTCAAGGCACTTTTAAAGTAAGTTCAGAAATAGATCAATGATTTCGACGCATGCGTATAAGGGATGATTATTACATGCTACCTTTTTTGTCGCACACAATTTGTGTGGACTAATGATAGGCTAAAAGGTTATTTTTATTAAACGGTTATAATAATAACTATTACTCCGAAGTAACCAATTATTACTAATTAAACGGTTATTGCTCCCGTGAATAGTTATTCGGTCTTGAAATATTGCTCGCGTTCAGCAAAAAAATATTCATAACTTTTAATCGCTGTCACCTGATAGTTATTTAGTTATCGATTAGAGGATTCATTTTTGAATAATTACTGCCTATCCAAAGAAAAATGTCTCTTTGGATTTAATATACATGTTTATTTGACTTGAGTTTTTTTTTAATATAAACAACATAATTTTATATCAAATATCATTTTGGTTAAATAAAATATTGTTCTTTCACTAGAGTAAATCATGTTGTTTGATGGAAGAAACAGTATTATTTTAAGGAAATATTTTGTTTTCAGAAAAAAAAATTTATTTCGTTATATATTAAATATTGCTCCACTGAAACCAAAAATTCTTTAATACTTTTCTAACATAGTGTTACTTCTTTCAAATAATTTATTATTCGTGATAATCATTATAATGTTTGGATGAAAATACAAAAGAAATATGTTATTTGACGCAAAGATATTTATTGTTTGAGAACAAATTTTGTTTATTAAATCAAACTTTCGTTTGCTCTATTCCAAATTTGTTTCAATTAAAGAAATCTTCTCTGTGCGTAGCGAACAAGTTGTGAACGATTAGATAGCGATTTAACAGTTGATTAGGATCTTAAACACTATTGCTTTTATGAAATTGTAACTTGATGAAAATAACCGTTTAGTCCGTTATTTTCTAAACTTAATAACGGCTACAAAGTTCTTTCTCGATAATGGTTATTCGGTAATAGATAACAAAATGACGACCATTAGTGTGGACACATTTTCAGTCCACAGGAGACAAAACAATATTCCTCTTCCATGTCTATATGGCATTTTTTTACTTATTATAGTGTATACATTTACCCTTTGAAATATTGACATACATTTATGAATCAACCTGTATGTTCTAAGAAATAACCAACTTTTAAGACACGTTACAAAAAAGTGATTATAAGCAATACGATTGATATTCGACCACTCGGTGGTATATGTATATAAATAGATAAAAGTTTGAATAAATTCGAAATGACATCTGAGCTTACTTTTTCATTTACAATGCGTGATTGCAATTCGTAAACGGAATCGAACACATCGTTGACATTAAAATCAAATTGTAAATGGAGAAACTTTTTTCAACCTAAGAACGAACCGCGGAAGAAGTAAGTTTTATTCAATTATTTCCCGCGCAAACGCGTTTCGAGATCTGAATATTTTAGTAGATAGGTTGGCGATAGCGAGAGGTCAAAGTGCAGCGCGCACGTTATCCATCTAGAATTTTGTAAATCCGGGGGGAGCAAAACACAGTAGTAGATAGCGTTCGTCTTATAGGTATATAAGATCAGTGGAAACCGGGTGCATTTCAATGCATTCAGTGACGGTGTTCGTACGCAGGCGTAGTTGGTTGCGGTAGGTCGTGAGGAGAGGGCAGAGCGGTAAGTTAGTCGCATTGTTATATCTTCTTTCCGTACATAAAAAAAGATAAAACTTCTTTGTTCATTTTTAAGAGTGATCCTCTTTTTCGTCACGTGTCGTCCCTCCTGTAATACTTGTCGATCCGCATGAAGACACGAGTGTGTGCCTTTTTCGCCAAAAGCTACCGCGTTATCTCGCAAGCGTGCCTGTGAGAGATATTAAAAATCTGGTAAACTTTAGATGCGAAGTATTGAATAAAAATTCAGAAAAACGTGCCTTGTGCACAATAAAACGTAATTAATCGAATTTACTGGATTGAATGAGCGATGATACGCTTACTTCAAATATTTCTCAAGATTAGATTTCCGGAGAAACACGTGCGTTTTGGAAGACAAAGAACTGATGTGCGTTTCTTCAGCTTACAGTTGTAGAAATTTTAGAATTTGCGAATGTTCCAATATCTAAAAATATTCTTTGAGCTCACCGATAAACGTGTTCTTTAATCGCTGAAGTATCAACTAATGAATATTTAGATGTATATTGTTCTCTGAGATGTTGAATTTTCTAAAACTTCTACGACTGAAAATTGAAGACACAGATATTGGCACTTTTTCTTGGCTTGTTAGAGCTGTTATGACAACTTAATCTGTCTCAACCATTACTCAGAGCCATTGCTCTGTCTAAGCCAGATCGTTGTTAGTTCAAGTCAATTTAAGCCTATTTAAGTGTAGCTTATATATATATATATATATATATATATATATATATATATATATTTCATTTCAAATGCAGGATTTACAAGAGGGTGCTCAAGCTGTCAATCAATCAAGCATCGAAGGATCAAATGATGACCCTGAAACATTAAGTGATCCTGACCAGGATACTATTGCATCACTGCGAAGGCAGTTGTTCTTAAGAAACAAAAGATTGTCTGCTTTATATCGCAGAAGGGTTTCATTCTCCGATGCATTAGCAAGCGATAATGATCAAAGAAGAAATGCATGTAATAATGTTGCAACAAATCAAACTTCCAATAATTCTTGGTTAATACTGAACAATAATAACAGAATTGAAAACAGGGAGTTTCAAGACAGACAATCTCACAGCAAAAGAGAACAGACATTTACTGTGTCCCAAGAAAATGTTACAACCCCCAATGATTTAACATTTATCATCAAACCACAAACAAATAACAATATTAATCTTGAGTTACCAAAGGGACAATCATTGATAGTAAGAGGTGCGACGGTTACTCCATTGAAAGAGAATGTTGTAAATTCTGTTCATTCATTAAGTAGTACAAGGACAAATAATAGAATAAAAAAGGAGAATAAAGAAAGAAAGCCTTTCTCTGTTGAAGGTCCATCTGCAGCAGTTTCATTGGGTCCACGGTATCTTGCTGAAACAAATAACAGTGTTACTTTGTCTCAACCTCGGCATCATAGTGATATCATTGCACCTGTAGGAGAAAAAAATGTAACACATGATACTAAATTTAAAGAAAATTCTCTAATTGTTAGTCAATTGAATTCTGGGAATTTAAGCAAAAGTAATCAAAGTAGTATCGTGTCTCAAGAAAAGAAAGCAGAAGATACAACACAAGAAAAGAAAGAAAATATAAATAAAATAGAAAGTACATATCACAGGAATATTCATACAGAATATATAACGAACTATTTGAATGATAAAACTTCAAGTGATAAAACTGATATTTCACGTCGAAGTTTGTCTCCATCAGTTATTTGTAAACCAAATAATAGCAACTTAATTACATCGGAAGCTACTGCTAATACTGCTGAGAAATCATTTGAATCTCCAAATTTCGATTCACAGGCTGGGAAAAAGTTAAGTGAAAATTCCAACGAAAAGCTCAATAACCAACTCACAAGACAGCCTTGTAAGCAGCCTGGTGATCCGCCTGGTAGCCAGCTCAGTGATCCACCTAGTGGCCAACTCAGTAACAAGCCCAGTGACCAGCAGCCCAGTAACCAAGCGAATAAATCAACTATTGGTTCTATATCTCAAGAAGTACACTTACAGTTAGCACTATCAAACGAAGACGAGACACATGTGTCCATACCAAATGTATTAATACCTGTGAAAGCAAGGAGAAGAAAAGAAGAAAAGTGCAGTCAGCAGAAGTTGGTGAAATTTTCAATAAACGGCGTTGAATATAACATCGACAGAATGAAGAAAGTAAAAATTGCGATCATTGGAGCGGGTGCATCTGGCATCGCAGCTGCCTCAAGACTATTGCAAGAGGGAGTAGACGATTTCGTGCTATTAGAGGCTAACGATAGGATAGGTGGCAGAATAAACACTGTTAATTTTGGTAAATAACGATCACTCTAACTTTGAACATATATACACTCAGAATATAATTTTATCCGCAGAAGTGTCCGCAGTAATTTTATCCTACTTGAGAATAATGTATTTGACTCGCACGTTCCTTTTATAAAACATGCACCTTTCCGTTTATAAAAATATCTAACTTTAAGATTCTAATCTAGGCAGTAACGTGGTGGATCTTGGAGCTCAATGGGTACACGGTGAGACAGGAAATATAGTAAATGAGTTTGCTTCCAAGCATAATCTTCTGGGCTCATTCTGCACTTTCTTCAACCCCAGCAAACACGAGTTTTTCACCATCAGTGGTGAAAAGATACCTAAGGAAGAAAGCATTGAAGCTCTCACGATTTATTACAACATGATGAAAGAAGCACCTAATGAACTCGGCGAGACCGAAGGATCCTTTGGAGATTATTTCAGGGAGAAGTGAGTAATTTTATTATTTCTCAGGCTTGAAGTTATAGATTTGTTGGGTTGTCTCGTGGTAGGGAATTAACCAATAGATAAATCCAAAACATAAAAAGAGATGAGAGATGGGAGGTAATTAAAAGATATCACAAGATATAACATGAGAGGGAAATGCACATGTTTCAACACTATACACTATAACGGTCATATGATGAGATTATTCCGTTAGTTCTATCGGAACCTAAGCGTCTTCGGTTCTCACGTCAAAACTTATGCAGAAGAATATTGTTCACAAAGTCATCGATGTCACTTTCACGAAACCATGCTTGTAGTGTGGGATGTAGGCTCGCTCGAACGACAATATAAACATCCTTATCGGGCACGATGCATCTGATAAGAGGAGGAAAAGCGAGTCAACAAAAGAATGCGTTTTAATCTTCCCACGTATTTCCGCATTAATCTCACGATGAAATTTGAATAATATTTCATTGGAGGATATAGATATACGCGCGTATACACACGCACCTTACGCGATTGTTGCAGCACTCATTCGCCACATACTCGTACCTCAACAAGGAATATATGTACTTCAAGTACTTCGTGTCCAAATGATTATGTATCTTTTCGCTTGCTTTCGCGGGGTTATTTACCATCTCGATGTATCCTTTGGTTAGTATCGGTATAATATAATCTACCTGAAAGATAAAAAGGTACATTGATCTTTTACGTTTGAACAAGTTGAATTCCTGGATGTGATCTCAATTTAATCAAGAATGAGTCAACTTACCTGCTTGAAACAGTCGTCAATAAATTCCTCGGCGCGACTATAAACGCCTTTCTTTTGTTCTTGTAATATGAGCACACCTATCGGCGGCTGCTTGGATCGGAATATCTTCGTGATACATTCGACGATCGCTAAACCGTCCCCCGCGAAAGTCAGCATGACTATGCAGCTGTACTTTTGTTTAGTATGCTGATACGATAAAAAATCACGATTACGTAATAACACGAAGAAACTTTTATTCTTTTACAGCAAGTTTTCGGAAAATCCTTTAATTTGAAATTTAACAACCTTCTGTTGATCATCCTGTGGTATGCTTCTTGATTCGCTTTCTCTCGCCGCTCCAATCTTGCATTGTTCTGTCAATATAGGACTCAACACTAATGGTGCTCTTGGTATATGCGTTGGTTGAATTATTTCCAATTCTAAAAACGTCAAAGGAATAATTAGTTTAAGGCTAACTAATTAGGTATAATCATTGCCTGCGTTCAGCAAAAAATGTAGCTCAGTAAGCGTTTAATGATTATTGTTTCTGATTGGTATATTCTTCTGGATTTGTCAAGAATATTCCAGTCACAAATAATAATCATTAAGTGCTTACTGAAGTTTCTTTGGCCCTTAGAACGACTGACGTGTACTTTTAAGACAACGTTTTATGCTTTTGATCTTCGTCTAAATTAGTATTTTTTAACTTTTTTTTATTATTATACAGCGGTTTATTATCAATTATAAATAAAATAGCTTTTAAGACTCGAAATATAAAAGAATCATTGTGCGATTTCAGCAGAATGGTTGACTTATAATTTTAAGACTATGCTTTATACTCGAAATCTTTATCTCAATTATTATTTGTTTACCTTCTCCTTTTTTTTTATTATGCAACAGTTTGTCATCAGACAAAACAAACAAAACAGCTTTTTAGTTTAAGACTCAAGACACAAGACAGTCTTTATACATTATTTAAAGACAAAAAACTCAAAGCATAAAACATTATCTTGAGCCGATAAGTCAGCCATTCTGCTAAAGCCCTTTCTCTGTTGAACACAGCCATTGTAGTCTTAATATACTCGTCATTCAGATTTGATTTATTATTCTTTTATGTTAGAAAAGAATAACTGCCACTGTTTACTTAACCATCGGCGGCATCTTGCGACAGAGCGCTGGCTAAATTATGCATGTAATCCTTAATCTCACTTATTACGTCGAACCGCTCTATCTTTTGCAAAGCACTCAAAATTTTGTCCATTGTCGCATCCGGAGACTGCACGTAGGTAAGAAGCACGTAGTACGTCGGGTCTTGCAGTCCCTTGAAATCGTAGTCTATACACTGAACGCAACGAAACGATATTACGGTATCATTATTCCATTTTAACATCATAATTAATATTGATATTCCATTTAGAATGAAACACGAATACGTGTGATTTAGCGTGCATACTTATCAACAAGCATCGGATTCCGTCGGATATCTTACACGTATCTGCTCCATTGTCAAGCCCATGTGCGCTGCAAACTCCTGCCATCCGTTGTAGATCTTCCCTGTTGCCGTGGAACTTAAGAGTAAGCATAGCTTCTGCAGCGTAGCTTTGCCAATGTGCTCGAATAAGTACGCGGCATGGATGCGCGACGACTCTCTCTGGATGTTCAAGGTGACAGTATCCAAATTCGGCGGACCATCCACTTCGTTTCTGAGTTTCTCCAACTCCGGATCGATCTTCCTAAAATATCACGCCCTTTGTCATTTTCGTGTGATGATGTCTTAACACGTGCGAGCACGTGAACACGTGAGAGTAAAAAACTTCTCGTCGCTCGAAAAACCAATGACAATGTGTAAAATTAACACGAGAGTTTTAACAACTGTTGCTTGTTGTAACCTTACCTCTGCGCAAACATTTTGCTGCGAGTTTCATTAAGGTTTGTCACGAGTAATTAAAGCGATCTCGCTCCATTTTTACTGTGATTTCTCCTGCTATGGATTGTTGAACGATGCGTGTTACACAAGCGTCATGTTAGTGTAAATAGAACTCCCGAAAATACATCCAAAATATCATTCCAAATTTATAAGCATGAACTCCTCCCGAACATGTCAGAATACTCGCCATATGCTGTTAGTGGCAGCCAGTGTCTCCTCCCCACTACGACTCGGCTCAAGGTTGATGATGATTCACATTTGATTCTTGCCCGCTCGCTGTTTGAATCGTAGAGGAGCACGCTCAAATTTCTGTCTTCTTTTAACACACAATTTAATTTTATATATATAATATTTGTAAGTTATATATATATATATATAAAACTTACAAAATATTATTAGGATAACTTTAAAACGAGATATAAGTGCGAATTTAAAGAAACGAAATATTGATATAAAATCTAAAGCAAAATATAGACATATAAAATTTCACTAATAATTAGCAATAATCTAAAATTTGAAATCATCTAAATAAATCCTAGCTTACTATCTATACGTGTGATGTTTTTTATATAAATATTCTTGTGTTTCATTCTCGGATATTATCCGCTGATGCATTGATTGCAGCTTTTACAAGAGTTATTCGGAAAAGCCTTTCGTTAGTCGCAATCGTGCTGCTCAATTTTTCTCTTGGATGCAAAAGGTGGAATGTTCCGTAGAATGCAGCGACTCATTGTCCGACGTTTCCGCCAAACGTTTGGCGGACTACTGGGAGTGCGAGGGCGATAGTGTGCAGAATTGGAAGGATCGTGGTTACAAAACTCTCTTCGATCTTTTGATGGTAATTTTGATTATTCGATACTATCGAGCCAAAAATGTAATACTAAGTATCTTAATATTATTGTTTCAAGTAAATTTTTCCCTTAATATTTTCTATAGTCATCTTTGTTTTTTATTAATATCCATAGAAAAAGATTCCGAATGCAGAGAATAGCTTGCCAGTGATGGAGAAGATAGAGTTTAATAAAGTCGTGACAACTATTGACTATAGTTCCGAGGAAGGCGTCATAGTGACGACCAGTGACGGTTGGAAGTACATCGCGTCGCATGTTATTTTCACTGGGTCTCTCGGTGTCTTAAAGAAGAAACATTCCACAATGTTCGTGCCATCTTTGCCGTCGAGAAAAAAATGCGCGATAAGGGTATAGCGAAAGTTTCATTTATCACTGCGTTTATACGGCAACGTTAATTCGATTTAGTAACAGTTTCGTAGTTAATGAAGTCTTGTATCTGATTGGTATATCCTTTTAGATTAGTATATCTTTTTAAAAATATATTCCAATTAAGTGCAAGAGTTCATTAACTACGGTAGTTATTAAATCGGATTAATGTTGCCGTGTAAATAAAATCAATGACAGTTTCATGAAAAGAAAAATTATGCGTGATATATATATATATATATGTGTGTATGTGTGTGTGTGTGTTAATATCGTTCTATCAGGGACTATGTATCGGAACAGCCGACAAGATCTTCATGGAATTTCCACACAAATGGTGGTCAGAAGATACCGTCGCCATCAATTTGGTCTGCCTCGAGGAGAATAAGAAGTTGTTCTTGCAAAAATACGGCGAAGTATGTATATTCAAGTGCAATCAGGTTGAAAAAGACGTCTTTCACTTTCATACGTTCATTGTTCCGTCAATTTCGTTAATCCCTTGTTTTTCAGGAATACCGTTGGCTCTGTGACGTGTTCTCCTTTTACACCGTTGATTATCAGCCGCGCATTCTGTGTGCCTGGATTGTTGGCAAGTATGCTAGATACATGGAAACCTTATCGGACTCTGAAGTGACCAATGGATTGTATTGGTTATTGTACGAATCAGTCGGGAAATATTATAACATTGTACAGCCAATAAAGATACTGAGGTAATTTCCTGTCATAATTAATTATTCTCGAAAGAAAGTACTAATCGTTTCCCTTTTTGAATTCTTAGGTCCAAATGGTTCACAGACGAACATTTTCAAGGCTCATATACCTTTCAAGGCATGAATACCGAAGACCTGAATGTAAAACCGAGCGATTTGGCTGAACCAATTGTAATGAACGGAAAGCCCGTTAGTAATGATTGCAATACGTAACATTTTTTTTCTTAGCAATATTAATGCTTATAACATTATTATTAAATCTTATTTTTTTCTCGACTGTCCGTTCAATCATACAAGATTAACTACAAACACTCCAAAACAAATGCATCATTATGGATTATAATATGTAGGTGATACCGTCGATAACGTCCGAGAGATATTGGTTTTTTTTCCTCACTTTTGCCTTATTCATATATTTTTTCTCTCATGTGACTATTAAGTGTTGGCATGGTCGATTAAATGCTATTTTGAGAGACTGTTGACCTTCAAAGAACAATACATACAATTATGATATTAGGTAATTCTTTTCGCCGGAGAAGCCACACACGATCATTATTATTCCACTGTGCACGGTGCTGTGGAAACTGGTTTCCGCGAAGCAAATCGTTTACTTGATTTCAATCAGAGGTAAGATTATATTTAATAAAGCAATATTTGAAGCCTGTTATTAACTGCGCAAAAACATAATGTGATAATGTTTGATAAAACGGCCGTTTGAGTTATCTCACTTCAATATTCGTTTTACAAAACTTGGATTTGCATCTCAAGATTCTTGTGAAATTACTTAAAAGAACTCCGTTGAGATCTTCTCTTTTACATCTCTTCCACTTCTTTTTTTTTCTTTCATTGCTTGTGAGATCTACACATTTTTTTTTCAAAAAATTCTACGAACACTTTCTACTTTCAAATCTGAAATTGAACGAAGAAGGGACTGAAGTATTGACTCTATAATTTACAAGAGACATAATGCGTTGCAAAAACTCTAACGATCTTTTTTCGCCAGCATTGCATGATTTCGCGTGTTGCTTTCTGCTTGTTAGTATATTTTGGTTGTAGATATTTAATTTTGCATGAAACTTGCAAGTAAAATGGAAGGTTTCTCTCTTTACATTGCTATTGTTTTCGAATTTGTCGCATCCGCTGGCTTCAAATCTTGCAGATATGGTTTTGCAATTATATTTTTATTGATTGTGCATGCTCTTTCTTAGGCGGGTAAACTCACATCTCTAACTACACATCCCGCGTAACGAACGGATTACGGTAAACTATAAAATACGCTTGCAACTTGCGATGACTACAACAGGTATCTTAAAAGCATGGACGATCATGGAACTTATTTGTAAGATGACAGAGAGAATTTTGTACAAAGAGCGTATTTTAAAGATTGTAAGATAATTATAAATATATAACGCGTATCATTGAGAATAACTTACTGTTATGTAAGAGGAAAGTAAGATATTATTCGTACTTGAGAATTTACTCGTAAATCTTATACCGAGAATATATGAAATAATGTAGTTGACAGTTAAATATGTCGTCTATAGTAAAATATTCATTACTGTAAACACTTTGCAGTCATTATCTTCGAACGAACAACACAATAAAAGTTGCCTTGTGCAATTATATTTTACCTATAAACACGTTTGTTTAAAAAAAATGGTGTGCCTATAAAGATACTTTTCCTCAATTTAACAAAAAAGAAACAATGTCTTCAACTTTAGCCTTGGATTTTTACGAGCAATTTGTTGAAAAATATAAAAAGGACTGGAAAGGACTTAATACGGATATATTATATAGGTTCAACAATCTGTGATCTTCTTGAAGAGGTTATCTTTGGTAACACATGTTGTCTTTATTGCACGGCATGTGCAAATTGCGTCAAGCAGTAAACTCGATTCTATCATTGTATGTTTTGCATTTGTGTTTTGTCTATCTCACTTTCGGAATAGCTCATTATCACCTCTTGAACTATCATTATCTTATCACAGTAACACTATTATACATATTACATAGATATTACATTATTATCTTCGTCAAACGCATTATCTGAAGAATTCAAATGAGATTCGTCGTCAATGCTTTCTATTGTATTACTCCTTCCTTAATATAAAAGCTGTAAAGACAATAGCGACGACAAAAACAAAATAACGGGATAGAAAAACACGGATAGAAATATGAAATTAACGGAGCGAAGGCGGATAATTTTCGAGGAATTGTGAAGATATAGATTTCCATCGTCCATTGGATTTGGATCACTAGCGGGAAAGCTACTTCATACGCATAGATGTTCGAGAGAAATACGACAGATATAGTCGACTACAATGTAACGTTACAATTTTTGAGTGAGAAGAAAATTTAAACGACACTTTGATGTGTATTGATGTCTTGCCGCTTGTTAGTCCGTTTTGTCGACGGTTAAATAAAATAAATAATATTGTTGGCGAACTGACTTTAGCTGGAACCCGACTTGTATAACAGGAACAGTTAAGATCTTATGCCAATCGTTGCAGAATGCGCAACTGCAAAGTTTTATACGAATAAATACGTATTAATTGCATATTAATAACTTACAAGATCACAGAAACAGAATGAGCGATGGTTCACCTGATATTTTATAAATTAACTAATTGACGTAGAACGCGCGATTGCTTAGATCAACTGGTCCACAACGTCAACAACATACATATAGGCGAGAATGAGCAGGCGATGTACGATGCGTACAATGAGAGGACGACAATTGTGATAGTAGGCGCAGGAATCGCAGGCATCGCTGCAGCTAGAACACTACAGAATGCAGGATTGGACTTCATTATCCTCGAGGGTATCGTAAAATATTTATTAAGAATTCAATACAATTCTCTCATTGCCTCGTAACATCTATGTGCACATAATAATGCGAAGTTTTTGCCTGTTTGAAACTACTTGGCTGAAAATGGTTGTACGAATCGATGATCTGAAATTTTCACCAGTAGATTCTCTTCTATAGCTCTATCTAATAACTGATGATAACTGCGAAATAAAATGTATCGAATTATCCTCGTATATTTCACAGCTGAAGATAGAATCGGAGGCAGGATTCATTCGGTTCAACTGGATGACGGCTGGATAGAACTCGGGGCGCAATACCTGCACGGTGACCAGAGCCAGCTGGCAGAATATTGCCGCGAGAAGGACTTACTGTCACGTTTCTTTGGCACGGACGGCGAAGGATTGTACTTACGTGATAATGGATGTACAATTTCGTCGGGCACAGTCTTGGCGTGTGACGTCAACGATGCCATACACGACGCTCTGCACAGCAGTGAGCAATTTTTCAAGCAGAAGATTGAGAAAATATCCGACGGTGAGAGTGTCGGTACCTACGTGAGAAAGAACTTCGACAAGTATTTGTCCGAATGTAACGATCCTCCGCCAGTTAGAAGAATGAAGGAGGAGATCTTCGATTTTAAAATGCGGTATCTTCAAGTGGACAACAGCTGTGATTCGATGTACGATTTGTCCGTGAAGATGTGGGGACAGTATGAGGTAAACTTGACATTCATTCATTAAACACTACGCATTAAGAAACTAAATAATATTATAATATACCCAGCAAGCACAGACAAAATATAACTGATAAATAATATAAGAGTAACACGTAATGTAACGATCATCACATCTTATTTATGTTGATATAGTCGAGTTTGCGTGCACAATATAACTGTGTTTTAAAACTATTATATTATTTTATTTGCGAGTTATATGACACAGAATAACTAATAAAGCGATATAACTTAAATATAACACATTATATAACAAATGTAATGTTTGCTTTACTTCTATGTTAGATAATATTTGTTATATGTAGAGGGGTCAAATCGTTCGTTAGATAACATCCGTTTCTCATACTTAAAATATGATGTGTTGACGTTTATGAAAACGGTGATCATGATACGGTGAAACTCGTGATATCCACTCTTTTAATGAAGTGGCACATTTTTGCATCAACAGCAATTACCGTCAATACACAGTGAACACTAAATAAACTGACAGTAACATAATACCAATATTATAATTTCTTACTCAACAACATAACTATTCCGCAACACGCGCGTTATATCGCATTTATATTGTTGAGTAGGAAATTATAACATTGATGTTGTGTTATTGTTAGTTGATGTTCACTGGGTGGTAACAGTCTCTCCCGCGGAATTATCATTTATAGTGATGGGAGTGAATAAATTATCCGGACGCTTTCCTTTAACCTCAAAGATTAATAAATAGTCGAAAATTAGTGCAACTTACATTTTTAACTTATCTTTTCTCATGATTTTTGTTACGTTAATTTTACAACAAATGTTGAATCAATTACGAGTGTCATTTTGTGCATATATTTTTTTATCTTCACGTATACCGCAAATATCTTGGCATGCGATTTTTCGCTTCTGATGTCGTCATACAAGAACAATCAAAGCGATGACGCAAATCTTTAATTGACACTTGATGGACAACTTATAACCGTCGCAATCAATTATATACCTATAATTGCAAGAAAACAGATAATTTATATTCCAATCCAATCCAATTATATTTATATAACTGTAACTTCAAATAAATAGAAAATTACAACTAATATGTATATTGCTTGCAACGTTTACGTTATATTACATGTTACATTTCGTTATATTGCAACAATGTAATCGTTATATATTTGTATTTACTGGGATATGTATTAACTATAAAAACAACAGGCTGTCTATTACTTGAAAAAATCTGGAAAACCTGGAATTCGCAGGAAATTTGTTTTTATCTGGAAATTCAGGGAATTCTCAGGGAATTTTATTAAAAATCAGGACATTTTAAATGGACATTTGACTGCAAGCTATATTATAGCATGTCATTCATAGACAAATATTGTGTGATTTACTGAATTTTGCTTAATATTTTCTTCATTAAAAATCATAGTAAAAAAATAGTTCTGGATTTTTCTACTTGATTTTTGATTAATTTCAATTAGTAAAGAATAGCGCTATATAAGTCATAGACTTATTAATATTCTGTGTATATATACATTTAAGATTTTTTAATTTTCTACTTAATATTTAAATATTAACATTTCTTTTATGTTTATAATAGATTCTTTTTTGTTATATATCTACATAAATAATTTAAATGTTTAATTATGCTCTGATATTTGGAGCACACTGATTTTACGACTAATTCAATATTCAAATTTTTGTTTTTTGTATCGGTTATGTATTATATAATTTTTTTGCTAGTAATGTTTTAAAATAAAATTTGAAAATTGAGAATTGATGCAATATAAAATATTAATTTTTTTAGAGTTTTATAATTTCTTCCAAAATTTTAAAAATTTAATCATTGGAACTCTAGCGATACTTTATTTTATTTTATGATTTATAAACTTTTATGAGTAGAAAATTTTAAGGACTTTGCACAATAAGTATATATTCATTTGCAAGATGTATTTAAAAATACTTTCATTTTACTTGGAATTTTTAATAAAGTTTTAATAAATTTTTAATAAACCCGGGAAGCCACAGAATTCTCAGAGAATTTTTTTCTGAGGTTTGAGTAGACACTCTGAACGACAGTAGTGATAACGACATCGATCTTCCGTAGATCGCCGGCAAGGACAAGTACCAGATGTTCAAGGAAGGTTACGTATCATTATTGGACAGTCTCGGCAAGGACATAGCCTTGGATAAGTTTCGGCTGAACTGTCCCGTAGAATCCATTCACTGGCGCAGTTCCATCCCCTCTCAGAGGGATTCAGCGATCCTCGTAAGAACCCGCGAAGATAAGCGAATCTTATGTGACGCCGTGATCGTCACCTGCTCGCTCGGTGTTCTCAAGAGCTGCCATGAGAAGATGTTTCACCCACCGTTACCGTTCCGTATGAGGTGCGCCATCAAGAATCTCGGTTTCGGGGTGGTCAACAAGATCATCCTGCGTTATGATCACCCCTGGTGGTACGCTCCCGTGACCGGCTTCCAAATATTGCCGATCCACGACCGGCCTGAGATGCCACCATTGCCACAGTGGACTAAGAATATCACAGGATTCGATGTTCTGCCAAATCACACGTCTATATTGGTAGGATGGATCTCGGGGGAAGGAGCACGCGCTATCGAAAGTATCCCCGAAGTGACGATCGGATTACATGTCACGGCGTTGTTGTCGCGATACATGAATCGTTCGATTCCACCGCCGACGGATTGTTTCAGAAGCAAGTGGTACGCTAATGAGTACATTAGAGGTGGTTATTGTAACATTACAACAAGCTGCGAGAACGAAGATGTATCGACGTGCACGTTGTCCGAGCCGATCTGGGCGGAAGTGAAAGACGAACCCTTCACCCAGGTGAGATTATTGCGCGAGACATCTCCGAGAGGTCTGAGTTTTTGTTCCTTACTCTGAGGCTTCGCAATCCTCCCAAAAATTTCGTATTAAGGCTCAGTTCTCGGATAACCATATTAATTTTATGACGCCATAAGCTAGCGGCAAACTGAGATATCTCAGTTTGCCGCATATTTTACAAGTTTCAGAATTACGAAACTATTATGTCTTTTAGAAAAAACTAAAAAGATAAAGTTATATGTCGCAAACTTACTGCACTTCTTTGCCGCATATTTCACAGGTTTCCGGATTACGAAACTTGTTTTTTTTTTTATTTTAGAGAAACCCGAAAGATAAAGCTATATGCCGCAAAAAACGTACTGCATGTTATTTCTCGCCCATGACATCATAAACTAATATGACTGCCGAGAGTTAGCTGAGCTTTAAACAATTGGTCTGTCCTTTTTAATTGAACTAACTGCACTAGTTCAAGAAATTTACATGAACATTGAAGCGTACATACGTGATTCTCACGCTTCATATTTCTCGAACTCTATATTTCTCGAACCAGTACAGCTAGTTCAGCTGAAAAGAACAGACCAATTATTTCACAACTGTGCGAATGTTTTAAGCTTTTGTTCATCATTTCGCTATAGCCAACATAAAGCTACAATTGACCAAAAAAAGATTGATTTTATGACGTATTTAAGTGATTTTTTTTTCTCTTTTATAAATGTAACAGATTCCGGTCCTAATGTTAGCCGGCGAGGCTACACATGACCGTTACTTCTCAACGGTACACGGAGCTTACGAGACCGGGATTCACCGAGCCAAGCTATGTTCACTGTACTACAGAAAATCCATGTAAATATGTTAATTAATGCAATAGAATTTCGTTAACATGTGTTACGCAACGAGGTATCTTCTATTTATTGCGAAGTTGTTTAAAAACGAGAAATTTGTGTCCATTGTACACGTGTATGTCATTTGACAATAGTTATGCAAGAAGAATCCAATTCACATCGAATACGTTTCGTAAGAACGTTTCGAGAAAAATGAAGATGAAAACTTAATACATAATTTAAAAAATATAAATAACACGGAAGTTCTTCACGATCATTCAAGAAGTCAAGCATATATATTTTCTTCTCTTTAAAGGTGTTCATTGACAAGCTTAACCATTAAAAATTGGCCATTAAAGAAGATGCAAAAAAGTAAAAAAAAATGGTAGTAAAAAATGGTACAAGTAGTAGGAAATAAAAATAGTTTCTTGATTAATTTTAAGTGCCCATAAGGCTTGAATCCCTTTGTTTTATATAGAAAGACGTACAAGCTACTCACCGGTAATAAAATCTCAAAAATTACAACTTTGTAGATTGGATCCTTCTTATATGTATCTACGATTTGCTCTGTAGTAATTCATTATTGTCTCGACTTTTTACTACTGATTGTAATTAATTATCGACTCGGTTGCGCGCGCATATTGTCTCGGTTTAGTTAGTTATTATGCGACTTCGATTTCTTTCACTTCTACATCTGCGTCGTTTATTAATTTTCATTTTCCACTTCGAGAACACGTCACTTTTGCGTGTGTGTGTATATATATATATATATATATATATATATACA